AAACATACATACATAAATACATACATACATACATACATACATACATACATACATACATACATACATACATACATACATACATACATACATACATACATACATACATACATACATACATACATACATACATACATACATACATACATACATACATACATACAAACACGCTACGTTTTTTGCCTCATCGTTTTAATTAATCTGAGAATAACTCAAATCATCACGAACAACTTTTTACTGGAAATCCTCGCGAGAAAATAATAAAAACTATAATAATAATTATTTATAATAATTAATTAATAGTAGTAATAATGATAATAATATTCCCAAATAATAATAATAATAAAAAAAGAGTATCATTAATTTAACAAAAATATCATGTTTCTTGTCATTAAAACTAATGATGACCAAATGTTTGCTTTGTGTATTGTCTCCATAGAGTTTTTCACACACATAATACACGCATGCATACAGACAAACAGACATACATATTGACAGACAGACATACAGAAAGACAGAAAAACCGACAAACAAACAAACATACTGTTATAACCGACCCTTTGAACTTGTTGGGTATGATTATTTCTCTCTACCTGGATTCTTGACTCCTAAAAAGATTTATTTCAGATGAATTTTACCAGAAAGAAGAAGTACTGGCAATCACTTGTGTGTATTGCTGTGATCAATCACTCGTTTATTCGATCGTTAAAATCGTCAGAATGCAGCGCAATAACTAATCGACAGGTGAATCACGGAATAAAACAAATCGTCAATCATTAAGCTTCTCTCGTCAGACTAATTACTGGCATTTTTTACTGCAGTGAGTTCCCAGCTATCAAAAATCTTACTTCTGCCACCAGTGAGTGTTGTAATCTCTTGAAGATCCCACCTCTGTCACCAGTGTCGTAACTTGCTCGACCTGGTAACTACCAACCCCAATGTTATAGCTTCAACCAACACTCTATATCACCAACGGCGTGTTGTAGCTTCCAACAATAGTCCAAGAGTTTGTTTATCCGTAGGTTCAAGATTTCCGACAGATGAACACAACTACTTCAAACGCAACTGAAATTTGAACGTTTATTTGAATAGCAGCAGTACCAGAAGCAATAAATTAATCCAAATAATCATATTTACGACTTCGCATCGAATCTCATTTCTAGCTCCCTGTGTTGTTCGTTTTCTGGGATCTCTTCCCTTAAAATAGTTAGAGATGCATTTGTGGATATGCCAAATAAACCAATAACGTTCAAGTAATTACTTTACAGCCTTCTAATTACTTTACAGCCTTCTAATTACTTTACAGCCTTCTAATTACTTTACAGCCTTCTAATTAATTTACAAGTGGTCCCTTCATCACTGCATGCTTAACAGTTTCCAACTATTAGTTAGAAAATGTGTTTAAGACTAGACTAGACATATATACATACATACAGACAGACAGACAAACATACAAACCGACAGACCTACATCCATACATACAGACAAATTTCTAATGAATTCTGTTCGGTACATCTCGTTTGCTATTAAGGAGTTTGTGATACCTATATTAATGATAATTATGCAAATTATAATAACAATCTTTTTACTACTACTACTTACTACTACTACTACTACTACTACTACTACTACTACTACTACTACTACTACTACTACTACTACTGCTACTACTACTACAACTACAACTACTACTATTACCACATACGACTGCTTTTCTACTCAATAATTTGGTCAGTTGCTAAAATATTGTTATTATTGTTGTTATTATTATTGTAGTTATTATTAAACAAATAGGATATATTAATTGATTAATATTATTGTAGTTAATAATGTTATTATAATTATTATTATTTTATTATTATTATTTTATTATTATTATTTTATTATTATATATTTATTTTTATTTTATCATTAACAACACACTCACTTCTTCCTCAATCATTGGCGTTGATTCGCTTACGCGACCTCTTCTCTTTGGATTTGTGTTGTTGCTGTTGTTGTTGTTGTTTTTATTATTGTTGTTGTTATAATTATTGTTGTTAGTGTTATTATTATTGTTATTCCTACCGAATTGAAATATTGTGGTTTTGCTTTTGTTGCGCTTGTTGTTGTTGTTATTATTGTTGTTGTTGTTATTGTTGTAGTTCTTTAGATGTTTCACGAGATCATCATGATCATTAATGTTGCTATTGTTGTCGTTATTGTTATTATTATTATTGTTGTTGTTGTTAGTGTTGATGTTGTTGTTAGTGTTGATGTTGTTGTTAGTGTTGATGTTGTTGTTGTTAATGTTGTCATCACAAATGACGTCATGTTGGCTGATATCATGGAACTTTCTTTTAACACGGTTATTATTTTTATTGTCCTGGAGGTTGTTGTTGTTGTTGTTGTTGTTGTTTATGTCATTTCTGCTATTATTATTTCTATTATTATTATTTCTATTATTGTTATTGTTATTATCGTTACTTAGTCGTCGTCTTTGTTGTTGTTGCAGTTGCAAGAAGTCTCTTGAATGATTGTTGATCATTAGTGACTGAGTTTAAGTAACAAAATTTTCAAAGGTTCCAATGCAACGCAGCGTGTTGTAGTTATTATTGTTGCTGTTGTTGTTGCTGCTGTATTTGTTGATTTATTGTTGTTGTTATTGTTGCTGTTGTTGTTTGCTTGCTGTTTTATTAATGCTATTGGCGTTTTTAAAATCAGCTGGAGTCATTAACTAATTATCAACTGAACTGATATATCATTCCACATTTCAATCATGTTTTGATGTATGTATGTTTGCTTGTTTGTATGTTTGTATGTGTGTTTGTATGGTTGTATGTATGTTTGAATGTTTGTATAGTTGTATGTCTGTATGTGTGATTGTATGTGTGTACATTTATGTACGAAACGTTTTAAGGATAATTTATCTTTGAACTATTTGCATCCGTCATCACATAAAAAAAGAGATTATTTAAGACATTATTTAATTAAGACATAATTTAATAATAATTCTATTTAATTATGTCACCACAATAAAAATTATAATTAATTACGACCTGGTAATAATTTTTATAAAAAATGTTGATGTAATATTAATAATATAATATGTTTAAAATGTTTGTCATCTTTTGTCTTATATAAGCACTCGTTCGGGCGAGATTTAGAAAGGGCATTTAAGTGTATATGCTGGTGAGTGTTTGTGTGTGTGTATTGGTCTGTATGTGTGTGTGTGTGTGTGTGTTGGTATGTATGTGTGTGTATTTGTCTGTATGTGTGTATATATATATATATATATGTGTGTGTATTGGTCTGTATGGTAGGTCGGTGTATGTGTGTGTGTGTGTTTGTTTGTTGATGTGTGTGTACATGCTTGCACGTACGTACGTGTGTGTATGTGTGCTTTAGTACAAACGGTAATTATCCCACATAATCAATAATAATATTATTTATTTATTTAATATTAAGAATTATCTAGATGAACTGATTCTGGCTGAATTAAAAAAATATTATTGCTCACAGGCCAAACTAACTCCCTTTGAAAAAATATTTTTGTTGCAGCAGTAGTCGCCGCAATTGAGAAAAATAAATTAATGGCGAACTGAAAATTTACTTAAATAATAATAATAAGATTAACTCTGTTTTCATAAACACACACCTACACACACCACAGACACACATACACACACACACACACACATTCACACATTACGACAAAACTTTGTTGATGATACAAAAACGATGACAACGCATTCCCAACCTAAAAACAAATCAAATTTCTCATTTGTTTCTCTACATACGAAACCATCCCTCTTAGCTAAGATGAACCAGACTGTCGCACGGAGAACACAATCTGTCCGTGTGTGTGTATGTGTGTGTGTATGTGTGTGTGTATGTGTGTGTACGTGTGTGTGTGTGTGTGTGTATGTGTTGTGGTGTACTTCAAAGAAATGCACTCAAATGTGTTAATTTACTAAAAATGTCATTACCGTCATGCCATGTATTTTTCTTATTATAGTTAGTGAAAAAAAAATGCCAACAAACAAACAAAATAATAATTCGAATTGTATTTATAATCATTATTATTCTATAATTATTAATTCATAATTATTGCAATTGCAATGATCTTATTGTTACTATTATTATTACACGTCAAAGTAAAACTTTGTAATCCTAGATTGCGTGCCTTGCAACTTGAGAAGGACAATTAAAACGAGTCCGAATATTATAATTATCGTAGAAATATCAATAACACCAACTGGAAGCACGCACGCACGCACGCACGCACGCACACACACACTATATGAATTCATAATCAAATTTTTGCTTAAAAACAGTCGCAGTGATTTACAACCATACATACCTTATTATAATAAAATCACAATTTATCATATATAAAAATATATTCAATTATAATTCCAATTAATTATGACGTCATAATGACGTCATTCATAATTTGTAATATTAATGAAGTCTCATGCTGTGTGTTTTTTTTATCGTTTTAATGATGGGAATCTGAAGTGAAACGGTCATTGTGCTTTCTATTTGCGTACTTAGAAAATAAATATGGCAATAATTCGAGATACTCTTTTCATGATAAATATAACAATAAAAATTATTATTATAATATTAATTTTTATTATTATGGTTGTCATTTTTATTATTATTATCAATATCCTCATCATAATAATCAATCATTATCGTTTCTCGTTACTTCATTTTTTAACATTTTCACATTCGTCGAATCTTTTCTCAATCACGTCATCACTTTTCTACTGTTACTACTACATCTGCTACTACTACAGCTGCTACTACTACAGCTGCTGCTACTACTACAGCTACTGCTACTACTTCTCTCCGACAAAGGGATAGAGCAGCTGCTTGTTAAACAGCAACTCTAGCTCATCAACAACGGAAGTCAATTTAGTATCTTTGATATTTGATGGCGCGAACTCGAAATCGTCATCCCCCAGTGATAGTCCGTCGCCGATGGTTTCGTTGATGGTTACTGTAGCACTGCAGTCGTCTGCTATTTTGGCGGGAATGAGGTTAATGTTGTTGTTGTTGTTGTTGCTGCTGCTGAGATTGTACGGGTTGTTGTAGGATAAAAGTTGTCTAGCATGTTGTTGATTTTGTTGTTGTTGATGGTGGTATGTAACTCTTCTGGGGACTGGAGAGGATTTAAAATAGCTCGTTAGCTGGTGTGGTCGGTTAGGGATGTCGTTGCGGCTGTAGAACTTATTCCTCTTCGTAACTCTGCTTCTCCCCTCATCACCTACGTCATAATTCTTCCTCTCTTCCAGCATGATGTCACCCTCATTAACATAATCTATGCTACGGTCATTACCATATTTTACGCCTGTCTCATTAGCATAATTTATGCGCCCATTTGAAAAGTATTTGTAGTGATTGGCGTCGTTTGAAAATTTGATCATGTTAGGATGATAATGATTTCCGTGGGTTTTATTCGTCGCTTGAGAACTTTTGTTGTTAGCAACCGTTATAAACTCTTGTCTTAAATCGTTTTTTTGGTTATCAATTGAATGGTCATTGTTGACGTCATCATCGTCGTCGTCGTAGTTGTCATAGAAACCGGAGCTAGTTGATGTGCGGTTGTTAGTTGCGTCCGACCAAGTTTGATGGCGATGTTGTTGTTGTTGATGGTGTTGTTGTTGTTGGTGGTGGTGTTGTTGTTGTTGTTGGTGGTGGTCATTATTGTTCCGGCTGTACAACTTTTTTTTGCTGCTACGACACCATTTTGAAAATGGCCACCATTTTTTACCAGATAAATTATTTGACGATTTCGATTGTTGTCTGTTCAGTCTTTTATTCTTTTCTTCGGCCGAACTGAAGAGGAAGTAGGTAGTGACGTCATCGTTAACCTCAGAGCTAGACTTACTTTTAATCTTTGATAAATTTCCTTTCAAGACCAAATTTTTCAACTTCGGCATGTCGTAGAGGCAGCGAGGTACCAGTTTCAGTCGGTTATTTGACAAGTTCAGCGATATAAGACTCCTCAAAGAACCGATATCTTGTGATAGGTAGATGATTTTATTGCTACTCAGATCTGCATCCTCCAATGCTTGCAAATCGTAAAAACCATCTGGAACCTCAACTAACCGGTTCTGACTGACATGTAGAACTTTTAAATTTTTCATATTCGTCACCGAAAGATGGCGCAAATCATTCGTCGATACGTCCAAATATTCGATAATCGGTAAATTGTCCAGTAAATGAGTTAGGGCGTTGTTCGAAATGTTCAGTTCTATGAGACGTGTTAGTTTGGCCAGGCGTGTGCTCAGCGTCGTCAGTTGATTGTTTGAAAGGTTCAACTGCTCCAAGCATTTCAAATCGCATAATGACGCCGGAAATCTCGTAAATTTATTGACAGATAAATCAATTTTTTTCAATTTTTTAAGGTAGCTCATGTCCACCGGTAAGGAATCGATTTTGTTTCCGCTCATTTTCAACACTTCCAACTTTTTCAATCCGAGTATTTGAGGTGGAAAATTCACAAACACATTTTGTGACAGTTCTAAGAATGTTAATTCTTCTAAATTCACCAAACTATCTGGCAGGTAGTACAAGCCATTCTTCGATAGTTCCAGTCTTCGAAGTTGACCCAAATTACCGAAACTCGGCGGTAACGATTCTAATAAGTTATCATCAATTTTAAGTATTCTCAGATGAATAAGTGATGTCACTTTAGCCGGTATTTTATTTAGCCGATTTGACTGCAAATGCAATTCAACAAGATCGGTACAGTTTGCTATGGAGTCAGGGATGATGTAAAGTTTGTTGTTGCTACAATCAAGTAGTTTCAATCTTTTTAAATTACCGATTTTATTTGATAAAACCGTTATTCGATTGTTGGCGAGTATTAAAATTTGTAGTTTGCGATAGTTTATCAACTCGTCATTCAAATATTCGATGTTCTTGTGCGCTAAATTCAACTGTATCAATCCGTATTCGTTGATTACGGGGACCACATTTCGATCGACCGCTTTGTTTTCTTGCTGGGAAGCAAGGTTTTTGGCTGATTTTCTCATTTTGATGGCAATAATTCCTGAAACTCTTTTTAATTATCGAAATAACGAAACAAATCATGTAAATTTAACTCTAAACCATCAATTTCGAATGTTATATAACCGTAAATATTACTTTTTAACGAATATTTATCGACTAAATGTTCAAATCAAACGTTTAAGAATGTACACACAAGCAGAAATGAGCAATAAGCGTACCAATTGTACGCTTTCTGAAAGGTAAGATCTGGATCGGTGCCAATGTCATTGTTTCGTTAACAAAGTGCAACTTCCTTACGTTATAGACTGATAAATATATTTTAGTAATGAAATCTAATCTTAGGTTAATGTTTTTGTCATATTTAGTCAATTTTTTTCAGTAGAAATTGAAATACAAACTGGAAAAGAATGATTTCGAGGGTTTTGATGCCTAAAACTCAGTAAAAAACCTCGCCCATCACTGTTTATGACCTAAATTGTTTGCTTTAACTTTTATTCGAAACATCCGTTTTGTTTGAGTCTTATTTGTAATTAATTTCTGTTTTTAAACTTCGTTTTATTCCAAATCAACATTTTTAACTTTGTTTTTAATAATTAATTTTTATTATTTATAAATAATTGGTCATCTTTATTTCGTTATTTATGTTGTCTGCCCACCACCATCATAGAAGATCACATTCACTCAAAGGCAGGCAAGAAATTTGGAATTAAAATTAATTAAATTGTTCAATTAGTTTAATTTCATTATTTGTTTTTTTATTTTATGTTAAAATCAATTTGGTGTAGTTTAATAGTTTTATTTTTGAAATTTAATTTATTAATGTCAGGTGATAATCATCAGTCAAACACAAACAATCCTTCAAAAATTTTAAATTTAAAAAAGTACCCTATGTATATAAATATTCTGATCTGACATTCAGTTCATTCTTTTCTCTTGGTTATTTAACATCCACACACACACACACACACACACACACACACACACAAACATACATACATATACATACAAATATTTCATACATACATACATATACATACGAATATTTCATACATACATACATATCAACATACAAATTATAAACAAACATAGATTCCTCTGATTTTAATTATTAATCTACTATTAGTATCACTCATCTCAGCCATTATATATATAGAGAAATTATTAGTTGTGCATGTATGTTATTTACCTAAAAAGTATAAATTACTTATAATTAAATACAATAGTATGTAACATATTATAACAGTAAAGCTCATTAATCAATTAGTTAATCTTTCATCATACTTTTATTTGTGTACACACACATGTATATGTATATCTATATACTTACATGTGAATTTTTTTGTTTTTCATATTCCTAAACTTTCATTTCAATGTCAACCAATTAGATTTTATTTCACTTTCACAGCAGGTAGACAACAGTTTTTAATCTGTTTTAATCATCAGATCTACTATTACTACCTTTTACTACTACTCCTACTACTACTACTACAACTACTACTACTACTACTACTACTACTACTACTACTACTACCACTACATAACCTTTAAATAAAGCAAATAAAGTTAGTGAAAGTTAAACTATGATGCCAATATTTGGAAAATTGAAGAACATCTTCAGTGCTGGTTCATCTGGCAGCTCTGGGGATGTGAAAAAGAAGCCTAACTTTCCACTAATCAAACAGGATGCGGACCCCAGTGAGTTTTGGGTGAATGTTGGTGAACTTGGTGATGGAGCCTTTGGAAAGGTTTACAAGGTAACAGCAACTCTTCCTTTCAACTATTATTAATTTTTAAAATTAATTTTGGTTAAGTTTTTTGATAATGCAGTCTTTCATTCTATTTAAACCTCCAACTAGTATAACTGAAATTTTTATCAGTCAATGGTTTGATAATTTGATTGATTGGTTTGTTGATGGTTTATTAGCTGGTTGGTAAATTGATTCCATTATGTTTCCACATCATGAACCAGGCCAAACACAAAGAGAAAAACCAGTTTGCAGCTTTAAAGCAAGTGGAGATAACTCAGGAATCCGATTTAGAAGATTATAGTGTTGAGATAGACATCCTACACCAGTGCAAACACAAGAATGTGGTTGGTCTCTATGAGTCCTACCTCTTCAACAGCAAGTTGTGGGTTAGTTAGTTAACTGCTCCCTATCAATCGGATTCAATATGCTGAATAAAAAATTATTAATCAAATTTTTTGTTTTTTATTCAAAAAATTTGTGTGAAAATTTATTCAAAATTTTTCATTAAAATCTCTTGGCATTAAATTTTTTCTGGAGAAGTAAAAGTTATTTTTACACACACTCTCACATACAATCACACACACTCTCACATACAATCACACAAGCACACACGCACACAAACACACAGATGTACATAGAATTCTGTGAGCTTGGGGCCCTGGACAGTATAATGCTTGAACTGGAGAAACCCCTGACGGAGCAGCAGATCCAGTACATATGCAGGGAGATGACAGAGGGCCTCGACTTCCTACACCAGCATTTTGTCATTCACAGGGACCTGAAGGCCGGCAACGTGCTACTCACCAGCGATGGCGGGGTCAGATTAGGTTAGAGTTCAAAAGGTTAAAGGTCGAAATGTCACCGGGGTCATTATCTATGAGGTGTACTTTTATAACTAGGGCGTGTCTTGTTGTAACTGTAGTATATTCATTGTCGTAATTATAGAATATAATAATTATAGAATACATTAATTATTAATTATTATTATTACTTTTAATTATAGCTGATTTTGGTGTCTCGGCGAAGAACAGCAGTGCCAAGCAGAAGAGAGATTCATACATAGGGACACCATACTGGCCAGTTGATTTTTATTTTTATTATTAGTATTGTTATTATTATTATTATTATTATTATTATTATTAGTAGTAGTAGTAGTAGTAGTAGTAGTAGTAGCAGCGTATGTATATACTATCAATTAAACGCATCTAACTATCAGGTAATTATATGTAATTACAATGTAATTACATTCTGTTCACTTAAGGCAACGTTGTAATTATTATTGTTATTGTTGTTGTTATTGTTGTTGTTGTTACTGTTATTGTTGTTGTTGCTACTGTTGTTGTTATTATTGCTATGATTTTCGTTCTAGGATGGCTCCAGAAGTTATTCTGTGCGAAACTATTAAAGACAGTCCTTATGATTATAAGGCAGACATCTGGTCATTTGGTCAGTGTCCTTGCTGAGAAATAATTTATTAGTATTTATTATCATTTATTATTATTATTTATTATTATTATTTATTATTATTATTATTTATTAATATTAATATTATAATTATCGATTGTCGTTATTGTAGGTGTGACTTTGATAGAGTTTGCACAGATCGAGCCGCCCAACCATGAAATGCATCCGATGAGAGTCGTTCTGAAGATTCAGAAATCCGATCCACCAACACTTAAATATCCCCATAAATGGTCGGTTGGTTGGTTGGTTGGTTGGTTGATTGATTGGTGGGTTGATGGATTGATTGATTGAACTCTTCTTTTACTCAGGTCTAAAGAATTCAACGACTTCATATCGAAATGCCTACAAAAAGATCCAGAAAGAAGACTGCCTGCTTCTGAACTTTTACTTGTTAGCTGTTGTTATTATCATTTCGACTACTGTCGTTCTAAATATCCAAAATATTGATAACCATCTTTTTTCATTTTGTCTTTGTTTTTCTCTCTCTCTCACTCTCACTCTCTTTCTATCTCTCTTTCTATCTTTTTCAATTACTTTCCAGCACCCATTCATTAGAGATGTGACGGGAAGTAAGGGCATTGAAGACCTGCTGAGTGAAATGAACGCTGAGATTACCTTTGAGGAAAAGGACATTGAAGAGGTCTGCTGCTGATGACGATGATGATGATGGTGGTGGTGACGATGATGGCGATGCATGTTTGTGTGTGGTTGGTGGATTGATTAGGGTTAATTGATTGATTGGTTGACTGATTGATTGATTGATTGACTGATTGATTGATTGATTGATTGATTGATTGATTGATTGATTGATTGATTGATTGATTGATTGATTGATTGATTGATTGATTGATTGATTGATTGATTGATTGATTGATTGATTGATTGATTGATTGCTTAAGGAGCTGGATGCTTTGGCAGACCTTGATAGCGACAGCAATAGCACTACAAAGGTTGGCTATTTTTGTTGTTGTTGTTGTTGCTGCTGCTGCTGTTTTTGTTGTTGCTGCTGTTGTTGTTGTTGCTGCTGTTGTTGTTTTAGCCCTTAATCATCGGCTTTCTCTCGCTATTTCACACTCACTCATTCTCTCATTTCAGGACGACACGCCCTCCCCGACATCTTCCAGTAAAGAGATAACGGCCGTGACTTCATCATCACCGTCATCATCTTCATCGTCAACGTCACTCGTTACGTCATCAACAGCAACTGCTGCCAGTGCAGCTACTACAACTACTGCTACTGCTTCTACTACATCGTCATTAGCATCCACTTCTAACAAACAACAACATAAAAACGATGAAAGTGATGATCTAAGTAATCTACTTAGAGATAAAAGTAAGAAGCATCAACCTTCGTCTTTGGCAGCCAGCCACGCCACTACCACCACTATTTCTGCTGCTGCTAAAGCTACTACTTCTACTACTGCAAATACATCTACTAAAATTGCTAATACTACAGCTGGTGAAGATGATGATAGCAAGTGCGTCTCCCCTGATGTCAAATCAACTGAAGCTGAATTGGTGAGGGAATAAGTGCGAAGGAAGGAAAGAATTTGATGGATGAGTAAATTAATGAGTGAATGAACGAGTAAATGAATGAATGAATCTTATCTCTCGAACAGAAGAAAAAGAAATACAGATCCCTAACTAAAACAAGAAAGTACATGGTGAATGGGGAGGTCGTGACCTCTAAAGTTCAAAAGGTCATCAGCTGTGAGGATGGGGATGAGATGCTGAGAGAGCACAAGATGTGGTTGGTATTATTACCATCATCCGATCAATCAATCAACCAACCAACCATCCAACTGACCAACCCACTGACACAGGAAAGCCAACTTGAGAGAATTGAAACTATTGCACCGAATTGAGAACAGGCAGTTGCAAGACCTCGAGTTGAAGGCACAACAATCCCTTGATGAGCAGAATAAGAAGTTTGAACTAGATGAACAAGTTTGTTCTCGTGATGATGATGTTGATGATGATGACGATGATGATGATGATGTAATAACAATAATAACATCTGAAATAGACCTTGAAGAACAACTATGACCTACAATCTGACTACCTGACAAAGCAGCACAAACAGCAGATGGATAAGTTGAACAACTCACATGCTAATGAGAAGAAAAATCTTCTCAGAAAGTTAAAATCTGATCAAGTTGGTGATGATCTCTCTCTCTCTCTCTTTCTCTCTCCTCTCTCTCTCTCTCTCTCTCTCTCTCTCTCTCTCTCTCTCTATCTCTCTCTCTACTCATCCATCTTCCTCTTTTTCTCTTTCTTTCTATCTATCTCTTTATTTCTTCTTCTCTAACTTAATCCTTGCACTCGCATCTTGACAGGAAAAAGATTATAAATCGTTCTTAGAGGGTTTGAAGCAAGACATGAAATATCTGAAACAGGAAGTGGACCTGCTGCCAAAGGATCAAAGGAAGGATGTCTTTCATTCCAGGAAACTCGAAAAAGAGGCGGAGCAACTTGAAAAGGTATGCCCTTTGATTGGTTCGTTGTTTCTTCTTGAGAATACAAATTCACTGTATGCAGCTTCTCGAACAGCGCCTCTGAGTTTTACATAGAGGGGCGCTATATAAATTCTCCATACCATACCATACCATTGCCTGGTCAGTTGGGAGGTTTGTTTCATTTTGTGTGTGTGTGTGCGTCGTGTGTGAGCATAATCAATTGAAGACTATAGGCATGCGCGTATATGCAATCTCACATACACACACACACACAAACACACACACACACACGTACACACACACAGCAAAAGAACTTTCAAGAAGAGCAGAGGAGGCAGATGGAGAGATCAGTACAGAAGTTGGAGTCACAGCAGGCCGAGCAGTATGCCCTCTCTGAAAAGCAGTATCTCCAACAGAAACAACAAATCTTCAGAGGTTAACGACCTTATTCTTGTTATTATTATTGTTGTTGTTGTTGTTGTTATATTATTGTTGTTATTTTCATTATGACACGCACCAACCAATCACGTCATGAGTTTCTAATTTGAAACCGAGTATACCAACCAATCAATGAATGATTGACAGCACGAGAGACCGCCCACATGGACCTGGAAGAACGACACATGTCAGAGAGGCACCAGCTGAATGAGCAGCTGCTGAAGAACAAATTCATCCTGAAGAGGATGCTGATGATGCAGAGGCACACTAAGGTAGATTTCCATAAATTAGAATTATAAATAATATTATAATTATTATAATTATTAATATTTTTGTTGTTGTCACCAAGGAATCAGACCAAGTGAAGAGGATAAATAGCATGAAGGAAGATGAACTGTCCAACTGCCATGCACTGGAATGGAAGAGGCTGCCGAAGATTTTGAAGTCGGACGCCAAGACGAGGGCCCTCATGTATCGTGAGAGTATCAGGATCAGCGTCATCAACATCACATTGGAGGAAGAGAAGGAAAAATTAAAGCAGGTGTGTATCACGCGTGTCTTTCTCTCTCTCTTTCTCTCTCTCTCTCTCTCTTTTACTTTCTTTTTCTCTTTCAGTCATTTTCCATTTTCTTAGACCAACTTCAGCACAAAAAAAATTTCTTTCCAGTTTGATGAAATGGAGAAGAAGAGAGCGAGAGAAGAGAGGACGAGGATAGAGAAGAAGCACAAGAGGCAGATGGATGATCTGAAGAATAAGAATATGTATCTACTGAAGGAGCTCGAGCAAGTTCATGTAAGTTACTTTGTTGGTTGGTTGATTGTCGATTGATTGGTTGGTTTGCTGGTTGATTGATGTGATGACGGTATGGGTGATGCTGATGATGATGGCGATTTAACAGTCGGACAAGCAGAGGTTGTTACTGGAGAATGAAATGCAGAAGACGATGGAACTGAGCAATGCATACAGGTGTCAGATCAATGGATGGAAGGAGGAACTCGGTCCCAGGAAACAGGTTGGTTGGTCGGTCGGTCCGTTGATTGGCTGGTCGGTTGGTTGGTTGGTTGATTGATTGATTGAACGAATTATTGATTGATCGATCGATTGATTTACTCATTCGTTCATTTATTCATTCATTCGTTCACTGACCATCAAATTTTCGTCCCATCCAGCAATTGGAAGACCTGTTTGCCAGTCAGTTGCAAGAGCAGGAAAAATTACTCGATGTTAGTGCTTTGCGCCGATTTCGTTGCTTCTCATTGCACAAACAGTAATTTTTATTATAAAATTATTTTAATAATTATTATAATTATAATTAATTCTTACCATTTCAGGTAAAAGATTATGCATCAGCTTCAAACATCGCCAACTCAGCCAGCCTCACGCCTCTCATGCGCACAAAATTCCACCACAAACTTTCGATCTTCGGTAACAGTGACGTCATTGCCGACGAAAGCATCATGGCGGACGGAGGCGAATTGAATAATAGAATGAGTTTTCAGAGGAACTCGAAGAGAGGATCCGGTGTTTTTGGTAACCTGGCTGATAAGTTTCGCGATCAGGGTAGCAGGTCGTCATTGTCGACCAGTAAACTGTCGCAACAGCTACCAACGTTGTCTGTCGCTACTGGTTCTGTGGAAGTTGATCTGTCGGCTGCTGGTGTGGCTGGCGATGGGGCGGTCCATAAAAATGTCGAAGGGGTGAGTGCGGATGCTAGGGCAGAAGGCATTGAAGCTAGAGCTGTTGATCAGAAGTCGGCTGTTGAGGTTGCTGTCAGAAAGGAGGTATGTAACAAGGGTGACGTTGGTGGTACCGCTGCTGTGGAAGGAAAGAATGCGGAAAAATTCGTTGGTGGTGAGGAAAAATTGGTTGGAGATGTTGAAAAAATTGTCCTGGTTATTGAGGAGATTGAAGATAAAGTTGAGAAGAAAGTGGAGGCTGGAAATGTGTCAGTTGAGGGTTTTGATGATAAGTTGTCGATCGACCTGGAGTGCTTGGATGTCGAGCCAGCCCTTCAACAACCGCAACCACCGACTGACGCGCTGCAGACAAATCTTGCACAACTTGCTGATCATGCTGAGAGACATTCACGAGAAGAAACAACCGCTGAGAACTGTGTAACAAATGAAACGCAACTACAACAACCACAACAGCAACATGAATTCGACATACCAGTTATCGAGATAATAGGCATAGATAGGAAGCCTCACCAATGCGTTGACGTCAATTTTAATGAAGTTTCATTGAAAACTGGTGAAAACCTTGATGAAAATTCTAGAAATGTTTCTGATGTTGGTGTAAAAAATACTGAAGATGATGAAAACTACGGAGTTGCTGTTGAAAATGACGGGCTTCGTGATGTTGCTGGCGAGGAATCGATTGAGAAACATCTGAATTCAATAGAGACATCGAACTTGCTCGCTGATCTGCAAAGTATTCACGATGATGGTGACGACGATGTTGAGGTGATATCTAAACAAGAATGTGATGCTGGAGAAATCATCGTAGGTACTCTTACAGATGATGTCCTTGTTGAAAAATTACTAGAACAGATGAGTGGCGATGAAGAAGGCAGTCTACAGCAGCGACAACATGGCGCACAACATCCAATCTGTTTGGACTTAGAAATCAACAACAGCAACAAACAACAACAGAGCAACAAAGTTGAGGAAAATGTTGACCAGCAGACTCCTAGCTCGATTTCTGACAGCGGTTTCGAGATGTCGACTTCTCAGAGTTTTGAAACAACAACAACACCGGAGCTTGTTGAGAAGGATATTCTGTCGAAAGATGGCGGCGATCACGTCATTTCAACGTCACAACAACAACCACAACTCGATAGTGCAACAAAAAATGTTGAGAGCATTCCAACAGAATTCAAGATTTCAAATGTACAATCTCTACAATCTGATCAATCTGAAATACCACATCTTTCTTCACCATCACCTACTACTACAACTAACGATTCTGTCAATGTTGACGCTGTTACTACTGCCACTGCAGCTGCTTCAACTGCTACTACAGCAGCTACTACTACAGCTGCTACAGAAACATCTGAAGAGATGAGTAACAGAGTTGAAAAGAAACTGCCAGACTTAGAAACTGACAGACCACAACAGCAAAGAACTGAAGATGAAGAAATTGGAAAGAATGACAACAACAACAACGACGACGACGACGATATTGTCGATGTTGAGGACGTTGTGGTTGAGACAGTTGCTATCGACAGCCACAATGAAACGACGACAACAACAACAACAACGACTCAAACAACAACAACGACATCGCAACAAGATGAAGATGATGATGAGAAAGTGATTGAAAATGAATTAGAGGATAAAAGTGAAATCGATTGTGACAACAACGATTGCAAAGACACGGAAAAAATCATTGGTGGTGATGATGATAGCAACAACAACAACAACAATAACAACAATAATAATAACAACAACAATAGTAGTAGTTCTAATGATGATAAAAATGATGATGAAGACCAAACCACCGAATCATCAACTTCAACATTATCACATTGTATCCAAGAGTTAATAGATCCCAATTCTGGTATCACTCCAGCTGATAGTAATGATATCATCGTTCTAGATAATAATAATAATAATAATAGTAATAATAATAATAATAAAAATGATGATGATGATGATTGTAAGAATGATAATATTAATGATGATGGTGATAGCAAGAAGGTTGATGATCATGGCGATGAAGATGATGAGAATATTAACGAGTCATCAGTGTAATTAGTGGAGTGAATGAACGAACGGTTGAATAAATGAAGGAATTAATGATTGAATGAATGAATGAACGATTTGATGAATGAATGAATGATTAGATGAATGAATGAACGGATGAACGAATATATACATACAGGACTTAATTTAATTTAGCAGCATTACAGCTGTCAGTGCTAATTAATTATAACGGTTTATATTCATGTATATATCATTTTTTATGAATATTTAATTATATTAATTGTAAATAATATTAATTATTATAACGATAACGTTTTTACTGTTATTATTATTATTATTGTTATTATTATTATTATTATTATTAATATTATTTGATTCTATTTTTGTCAGCTCGTTGTGTATATCCACCACCTCAAGATAATTTCATTTTTCTCGAATCTTCATTTTAATTAATGATATAATAATTCATTCATTTCTTCATTCATCTCTTCCCTCATTCAATTCATTTGCTTACTTATTTATTCATTCCTTCAATCATTCATTCGTATATACATATTAGAACTGGGCGACGTACATTGTCAAAAGAAGTATCTATCTATCTGTCTATTCATCTATCTATCTATCTATCTATCTATCTATCTATCTATCTATCTATCTATCTATCTATCTATCTATCTATCTATCTATCTATCTATCTATCTATCTATCTATCTATCTATCTATCTATATACAATGTTTAAATTTAAATCAATACTCTTTTCACTCCAATGTTATTTTTATTATTTATTATTATTATTATTAATATATTATTATTATGACTCCACTCTCTCAATCTCTTAATTTCATTCTTATGAATCTGGGAAAAAAATTCCGACCCTTCCATCTTGCGTTTGGCTCGATTTTCGTGTTTTGTATCTAAAGACGACGACGACGACGACGATGCTGATGATGATAATGAAATAATAATAATGAGGATGATGATGATAATGATGATGAAAATGATGATGAAAATGATGATGATGATAATGATGATAAAAATGATGATGATAAAAATGATGATGATGATTTGTTTTTACATTTATTTATTCAGTTATTAATTATTTTATCAAGTTAAGGTTAGGAGTTTGTCTGAATTTTTCTTTCAGTGAGTTATCCATCTACTGCCGTCGGCTCTTACTTGACTAATTTTTATTATTATTTATGTTATTATTGTTGTTGTTGTTTTTATTGTTGCTGTTGCTTTTAAATTTCATTATTAATTCGCGTTCTTATTTTATTGGGTTTTATATATCATATACGGATGCTTTTGTTGCTGTTGTTGTTGTTGATGATGGTGTTGAAGATGATGATGATGACAATGATGATGATGATGATGACAATTATGATGAAGATGATGATGATGATGATGCTGTTGTAGAGGATGTTGTTTGTCTTAATCTTGTGGCCTTATATATATATTTACAATTGTCATCACGTGAATGTATTAAATGTTATTTTCGTTTCAAAATGGAGCTTTTTATTATTGCATTTAAACTTTATATTTGTCAGAAAGTTTTTACTATTTTTATAAATAGATAAATATTTATGTTGTAATTTGATTGATTGATTGATTGATTGATTGATTGATTGATTGATTGATTGACTGACTGACTGACTGACTGACTGACTGACTGACTGACTGACTGACTGACTGACTGACTGACCGACCGACTGATTAATTGATTAATTGATTGATCGATTGATCGATCGATGGATTGATTGATTGATTGATTGATTGATTGATTGATTGATTGATTGATTGATTGATTGATTGATTGATTGATTGATTGATTGATTGATTGATTGATTGATTAACAATCAATCAATTGATTTATTGATATTTATTGATATATTTAACTTCACAACGTTGGAAAACTTTAAAAATTCAACTTTTCCTTAAAGATAATTCACCATTTTTCAGTTTATAAATGAATTATATTTCCCATTTATGTTAACTTTCTATCATTTTTTTCAATTATTCATTAGAGACACTCAGCTTGAAAAATAGATAGAAACTAATATTCAACCGTAGTTATCTCTCCACTGTTTCCGTACTAATTTTATAAAGTTACTATTCTCAAACAATGTAGAAGTAAAAATGTTCAAATGCGTAATACGTTGTATGAAAAAAGTGATTTTAAATGTAAAAAGTCGTTCTGCAATTTAAGAAAAAGTACAATTTTGCGATACATTGCACTGAAATTAATTTGAATAGTTTTCGGGACATCCCTGATTCTTGCCTTACCTGAGAGGTAGCTTGCTAAATGGCTATCGCCATTGGTCGGCGTTTTCAAACATTCAGAGGACCGGGCGTTTTACTTTTTTCGACATTTTATTTCTTTCTCCGGCACAAGAAGAAGAGTTAGTTTTTCATCTGAAAAGAAGATTTTCCACAAGATATTTTACTCGATATCAAGAAAGTTTTTTTTTTAATTTCATTTATTTCATACGTTTTATTTAATTAATTTAATAGGTTAGCCATTTCTGATAAATAAAGAAAAGTAGCGAGGTGTTTGCCGGCTTTAATAAATTTTATGCTTTTCAGTTTCTGACTGAGTCCTAAAATTAGTCCGTTTTGAAAGGTTGAAAGCAGTATGTTAACTTGTTTATGTTCTTTAGATAATGATTGAACATGTTTAACAGTTTAAGAGACATTTTTAATAAAATATTTATGAGTTATTAACTGAGTTGCTAACTGTTAATATTATTAACATATTATTATTATTATATTATTATTAATATTATTATATTATTAACTGTTAATAAAATATTAACTGAGTTGTAAACAGTACATTAATATGTTAATTAACTTTTAGAAATTTGACCATGTTGTTTATTAAGAAACATTTATAAAATATTTATGTAATTAACTGAGTTAAGAGTTTATCATGTTCTATTGGATATTAAAAAGATTAACTTTGCCTCATGTGGATTCTGCTTCGCCTAGAAAAGCAAACAATGACTATCTTTCTGCATACACACCACAGACAGGCGAATCAGAAAAGATGAAAAATGACTTCTGGGCTGCGTTCTCTGACACCATCTCAACAATACCAAAATCTGAAATAATCCTGATTGGAGATGGTTTTGACAACGTGCATGGCGGTTTTGGCTATGGAGAATGGAATGAAGATGGCAACCGCATCCTTGAGTTTGCTGAAAGTCACAGGTTTTGTTTACTGAACACATATTTTAGAAAGAGGTTGGAACATCTCATAACATAAAAAAGTGGACCATCAGCCATGCAAATTGATTTTTTCGCTGTCAAGCAACAACACCAAAGGCTATTCAAAAATGTCAAAGTTATACCTGGCGAATCATGTGTCGCCCAACATAGACTCCTTGTAACAGACCTGGTTGTCAAACTGTCACAACATAAGTCGCTAGATAGGGAATTGAAGTTTGTATAAGTAGCGTTTACTTACATATTTATATCTTTTATGATATGACAAACTAAACTTGTGACTGAGCGTGTTTTTTAGGGAATTTTATACAAGCTGTCGATAAGGTCTGAGTGTCAGATATGACACAAAAACTAAACTTGTGACTGATCGTGTTTTTTAGGGAATTTTATATAAGCTGTTGGTAAGTTGATAAGTTTTGAGTGTCAGATATGACAATAACTAATGGTAAAAAAGTGTTATCGTGAGATGACGTACAATGAATATGATTCAGTTTTTGTATTTTGGAAACCCGGTAAGCCTATTTTTCGGTGGTTAATATATTTTTAGAAATGTAATTTAGTTCTACGTAAATGGTAGAAATCTTTTTTTGAGGTCGCAATTATGAATGATAGAAAAAATGTTATTGTGAGTGATGTGACGCACATTGAGGTTAAAGTTTTTCGGGATCACCATGAAAACCTGTTTTTTGGTGGCTGATAATTTTTTTAGAAAGGTAATTTAATTCTACATAATTGGATGAAATATTTTTTGAGACCGCAATTAATAATATTTTTAATCAATTTTTAATCAACCTTCTGTGTATTTCTTTATATTGTTCAATACACTATACAATCATTGTTCATACATGCGTTACTTAAATATATGGAATACATACTTTTCATACTCTTCAATGGCCAGTTAAGCATTTTACATAGCTATACACTTATTAGTAACATATATGAACACCAGCCATGCATTAAGCAGATGGTCCTCTCTTTTTCACGATCTCTCCACGCACATAATATACAGGTCGGTCGTTGTAGCTGGGAGCTAAGTTCAGTCCTCTTGAGTTATTTTAGCGTTGTTTTTTCTGTTGATTTCAGTGTAACACATGATAATCAACGTATCAACTTTGTTTGGTAAAGACTTTTTTGAGGTACTGTTGAGCAACTTCGGAGTTAGAAATTAAATCAGATTGGTCATCGGTTGCTGCTCTTCTCCAGTTTACAAAGTATTTTTTAATTTAATTTTAATTCTTACGGTTGCATTTTTTAAAGCCCACAACACTAACAACAGGCGCTATCAGTTTGAAAACTGGATCAGATATATCTGTCCTTCCCTCCATGACGTCATTTTGTCATTTAATATTTGTTAAATATCAAATAAAATAATAATAAAGAAGTGTGCAAAACATCTCCAAAGATTATTATCAGACGTAATAATTTGTAACTAAATGAAGCCAGTTACTAAATATTCAAATTTTAGAAAGGAAAGAATGTTTAGACATCGTCTCCTTCATCTTAATTTTTACCGGTCTTGTATCGCCATTCTCTTGTTTTTCTCTGCCACTCAACTCAGTGTAGTAACAGCTCAGAAAGATCCAGCTGCTCTCAAAGTCGGACCACTCATATCAGCTGCAAATAATCAACAAAACGTGTCTGTCACACCGCTGCCTTACAAGTACGCACACGCTGATTACACCTCTGTGGCTGGTCTAGGTCGACCTTTCTCTGAAATATTTGATGCCAAGAAGCACTTTGTAACCTTCGAAAATGACGTCATCGATAGTTCCTGCTTTAAAAATGACACGACATTAAGAGAAAAGGAAGTTCTAGTGATGTTCGCGAACTGCTCCGACTCCGACAACAACGGATATTTGAACTCGAAACTTTTTCATTTCATATTTGATGACGTCAGCGTCGTCGAAGCCATCGACGCTTCCGAGTACGGCGACGTCTACCCCGTGAAAAATGTTTTAGCACTGAGGGGGCGCCACTTGGGGAAAACAAGAGCTCATTTGTACTTCTCAAAGAATAGCGGGAACGTTTCGACATTCATAACGACGATGAATATTGTGGTAGTGAGGGTGGAGAGAATCGTGGACACGTTGTTCATTGTGGTGGTGATGTTGCTGATGATGGCTGCCTACGTGGGCATGGGGTGCGCCGTCGAATTGAGCGTCGTGAAGGAGGTCCTCAAGAAGCCAGTGCCCCCCTTCATTGGTTTCTGCAGTCAGTATTTCATCATGCCTCTGGTTGGTTTAATCACGCATTGTTTCTTTAAGTTATTTTCGTATCTACGTACATTGAAATCGTAAATCTTATTTTAGACGGCGTTCGGACTGGTACGAATTTTCAACTTGAGTGGGGGCATAGGACTCGGATTTTTTGCCAGCGGTTGTGCCCCAGGTGGAGGTGCCAGCAATATGTACACGTACATGTTGGGTGGGGATACGTCCCTGAGTGTTACCATGACTGTCGTCAGCACGTTGACGGCGCTCGGTGGGTTGAATGACTGTTTGCCATCATTTTAGTTATTTTCAACTTCTGTTTTTGTCAACTTGTGGCGCTTGTACGTCCATTCAATGATTTTCTTTTTCAGCCATGTTCCCGGCTTGGTTGTATGCTCTTCGCTACTTCATCCCAGGAGTTGAGGGTACGACTTTCAAGATTCCTTACTACAACATCCTCGCATCTCTCGCCACCATGGTCATCCCGTTAACGGTCAGTAGATTAAACTTTTTTTAATTTTCGTCCGCAAATTAACTTTCATGCAAAATTTACGATTGTTATTTCAGATAGGGATCTTGATAAGATTGAAGAGACCGCAGTTGGCTTGCAGCATCAAGAAAGCCTTGAGACCTTTCTTTGCCTTCATCATTATATTCCTGTTCACGGTCGGGATATGGTCCAACATATACCTCGTCTATTTATTCTCCGCCAAACTCTTCCTGGCTGCATGCATTCTCTCATACTCCGGATTCTTACTCGGCGGCTTCTTCGCCTTCATCTGTCGCCTTCCACTTGCCAGAATCATAGCAGTCGCCATAGAAACGGGAGTTCAAAATACGGGGCTGCCCATTTTGTTGCTGAAGTTTTCCCTGATGCAACCGGAGGCGGATATGTCGGTGGTCAGTCCTGTTTCTGTCGCCATGTTCATGCCCGTCCCTCTCTGGATCGCCATAGCCGTCCTGGAGGTCTCTTGAAGTTTGCGATCGCTGGTTTGCTCGACTGCTTTTGCGTCTGTGTGTGTTTGATTATGATGGAGGCGTTGATGTGGTTGTACGTTTTTGATGGAAGTGTCAAATTAAGACTTTCATCCTTTGAAAACTATAAAACAGGTGAGGAAATGCGTGAATAAGAAGAAGCAGACAGACCCAAAGGAACCTTTGGACTTGCTGGTTGGTGATCAGAGACTGACCAACGATGGTGGCGAAGAGTTGAATGATGAGTTAGATGAACTCGCTATCAATAGAGATCCGATAAATAATCGATCGACTAAACTTGAATACTCTGAAAATGGGAATGTACCTAAAATCGTTATCGATTCAGATAACGACTTGAAACCGTCTGAAAAACATGAAGGCGACATTTAATACAGACGAGTTAGGAAAATCCTTAATGAGGTAAACGACGACACTCCTAACATCTATATCAAAATATAAAAGTTTCATCTTCTTTTATTCTATGCCTTTTTTTAAAATAATTTTTAACTGCGTTCATGAATGTTAGTTGATAAAATTATGATGTCATATAATGCTGGATATATTTTTGCTGAATGGTACGTGTGTGTATTAAGTTGCCATTTCTACTAGTTTATTTGTTTTCTCTACTCGGGTATTTGCATTTGTACTTGTGTATTTCTATTATTTGGTATTTGTATTCCAATGTGTGTTTCACCAGATGTATTTTTGAAAGCTTCCGAGTGAAAATTTCAAAATTGAATCTTGAATTTTTGGTTTTGTTTGCAAAATATATCAAATATTTTTAATTGTTTATGTGATTATTTCGAATTATTAATATTTTTATGAATTATTATTATTGTTATAATTTTTTATTTCGTAATTGAATAATTGATTTCTTGGTTGTTGATTTTATTTCGTGAAAATTTGATTCAATGTGATTGTGTCAAGCAATATATATATATATATATTTGCCAAATAAAGAGCTCATTATGATTGAAGCCTTCGTCACTTCTTAGTTTTGCACACACAATCATACATACGCATTTGCATCATTCATACACGCATACCTGTACGTATTATACACACATACATGTGTATACACACACATGTATACATGTACGTAAAAAAAAAGTTTAACACACCTAGCAATGTATGTGTGTACGTGATTACGCTCTTCAGTTTTAAGCCGCGGAAACCCCCGAGAAAAAATTATTTCACTAAAATTTTCTAATCGTTTAATATTAAAAAAAAATTTTTTATTTAATTTTTGTGATTATGTCAGTTACGCTTTTGTATTTTATGTCTTTCTCAATGACGTCATCGTCATCTTGCTTGGCGGTTTCTGTCTTATCAGGAAGTGAGTTTTATTTAAAATTTGCCAAAAATATTAAACATTCAATGATAATAATAATGGGATAAAATAAATAAATATTTTTTCTAATCAGATGCTCCTAACACCAGCGCGCGCTCTTTATCTATTTTCAAAAGTGAAAATGAAACTGTAGGAACTTCTTTCCCGCCAAATTATGACTCCCGTCCAAATGATTCTAACAACTTTCTTGAAAATGTGACCTCTGTTACAGCCACAGATAATGAATCTGACGTTTTCTCTGCATTCGCTCATAAATCTTTAAAAATTTCATCTGATTTGAACGTAACTTTAAAGAGCAATCTAACTGAGTTCAAAACAGAGACATCTGAAAAACTTCAAAAACCTCTTTATACTAACACATCAGACAACACCAGACCAAAATCAGATACCAACACTCTCATAAAATTTTCAGAAAACTTGCAAAACCCAAACATTACCCCATCCACAACCATTTCAGACGACACCCGAGAAATCACCCAACCGACGTTTGAAAAACTGCAAACCGGAAACACCAACGAGCAAATAGATGTCGTTTTACTAATGCCTAAGGACAACGAAAGATTCGGGTTCTACAGCTCGGGCGCTGGTGCAATCCAGGCCATTCGAGATAGCCAAGCTCGCGGGAATCTAATTGGATATAATATCAAGTGAGTGTTTCATTAAAGTTTTTATGCTGCTACCACTGTTACTACAGCTACTGCTAATAATAATAGCGGTTGCAGTAATAGTAGTAATTAATGATGATGATAGTGATGGTTATAGTTGTTGCAGTAATAGTAGTGGTGATGATGATGATGATGGTTATACGTTGTTAGTCGTATCGTTGTATCCATTGGTCTTACTGTTATCTTATCTGTTATGTTAAGTCATCTCTTACCTTCGTAAAGGTTATTATCATTGTTATTGCTCCTCGCCAGCGTCGTCATCTTAAAATGCTTTCAAGTTGTTAATTAAAGGATAATCCAGCCAATGTCTCCAAACAGTTCATTGGTTAAATTTTCTCAGAGAAAAAAAAATTAAAAAAAAGTATTTTAATCAAATTAACAATAAAATGAAAATAATAAAGGTTTATAATAGTGGTAATAAATAATAATTCTTAATAACAATAACTCAAAGTTGTAATTAAATAATTGTTCATCAGTTCCTTCGTCTTCTGAACTTCTTTCCAACGGATCAAAGACGAACGTTAATGAAAATGTTACACTTGGATGACTTTAAATAATAATTATGATAACAAAAGATGAAAGTATTAACTTTAAACAGCCATAGGTATCTTGACGCTTTCAAACGTAATTACATGATTAATTACGATACACATACAGAGAGACATGTCTACATACACACACACATACATACAAATACATACTAATGTGAATTTTTGGTTTCAGGCATTTTTTTCACATCTGGCTTATAAATAATGAAACACGTCCATAGTACTAAACATTCCTAGCATGAAATCATGGAGAAACACATACATTACATCTACATACACACCACACACACACACACATACATACACACACCAAACACACATACATACATACACACACCACACACACACAAATACATACATGCATACATCACACCCACACACATACATCCATACACACACCACACACACATACATACATACACACACACACACATACATACATGCATACATCACACACACACATACATACATGCATACGTGTTTGCGTGAAAAATATACTACGTTTGATTAAATTTTCAATTTAAGTGTCGAAGTGTGATATAGAGATAGGATAAGATAGCTATGTTGTTTGTGTATTCGTCTATTTATGCATGCATATGTGTGTGTGTGTGTGTGTGTGTGTGTGTGTGTGTGTGTGTGTGTGTGTTGTATGCACGTGTTTGTTATTTAGGATTGACCTCGTAAAAATAAATAATGCTTTTCTTGGATTAACTTCCAATACTAAGCCTCCAATTTTGTTGCTTGATTGACTGATAAAACGTTGAATGAATGAATGCATGGATGGATGGATAAATGAATTATTAACTGAATGAAACAGTTATAATCAGGAAATCAGACGAATTATGTTCACGGTTTCGGCCATCTTTATTCAACCAATTCACCAGATAATTTTAAAATGAATTCATTTAATTGAATGAAAATAACTTCTCCACCAAGTCTCTTCTGGAGGGACACTGGCTGTGATGGCAAACAAGCGCTTGGTAATGTTTACGAAGTTGCCGGCAATGTCAGTGCCGTATTCGGATTGCCCTGCTCGTTGGGTTGGTTGGATGATTGAATGATTGAATTTTCAGCTGGATTATCTATCCATTAATCCATCTTTTCATCAATCAGTTCAACCATCAATCTATTCATCTTTCATTCATTCATCAATCCATTCATAGATACGCCTGTCTAATAATCTCTATTCATCAATTCATCATTTACTCATGCATTTATCCTTTTCTTATTCAAACATTCATTCTTTCCCTTAATCATTCATTCATCCATCTATCCATTCATTCATTCACCCATTCATATCACAGCGTCACTTCATGCCTCGAAACTAACATCCTACCTTAACATACCGACCTTCTCGATGAGTTCTGCCAGTAACGAACTCTCCGACAAGGCCCTCTATTCTACACTAGTCAGACTTATCTCTCCCTTCAACAGGCTTGCCGATGCCGTTTATGGCGTTTTTGCCTATTTCAAGGTTTCGAAATTGCGGTAGTAACTGTAGTAGTAGTAGCTGTAGTAGTAGTAACTGTAGTAGTAGTTGTAGTAGTAGTAGTGTGTAGTAGTAGTAGTAGCTGTAATAATAGTAGTAAACTAGTAGTAGTAGTAGTGGTAGTTGTAGAAAAAGTAGTAGTAGTAGTAGTTGTTGTAGTTGTTGTATTAGCAGCAGCAGTAGTCGTAGTAGTGGTTGGTTGTAGTAGTTGTAGTGTTGTTGTAATAGTTATTATTTTGACTGATCCATTCATCCAGTGGTCGACCGCAGTTTTCGTGAATTACGAGGACCCTGACAAGTACTGCGAATACCTGTTCGAGGCTCTAAACGAAGTAATAAGAATAATAATTAATAATAATAATAATTAATAACAATAATAAATATTAATATTAAATAATACTACTAAGAATCCATCTAGACCAAGTGTAAGGGTGGAGCAAACTCTTGCCGTTTCAGCCAACATGAACACCCCCTACATGGACGAGTTCATTCTTAATAAGATCAAAGAAGACGCAAAAAGTTTTATTCTTATTGTTATGGTTGTTTTACACACACACACACGCACAACACATACATACACGCACAACACACACACATGTATACACGCACACACATAGTCGTGGTCTTGTGTGGTCCGAAGAAAAGCGTACGAGGCCTCATGATGTTGGCTCACCAGAAAGGAATGACGGACGGAAGATACGTATTCCTCCTACCGACCATAATCCCACTTGAGAACTTTTTAAACCTCTGGATGGCTAACAACACGGATTCCACTGACGATGATGTCGCCAAATTGGCTTTCCGTCCTGTCATTCAGGTTTGAAGACTGGTAGTAATGGTAGCAGCTGTAGTAGCAGCTGTAGCAGCAGCAGTAGTAGCAGCAATGATAGTTTTAGTAGTAATTACAGTAGTAGTAATACAAAGACACACACGCGCACATTTCAGATAACGATGGATTTCACTCTCACCCAAACGATTTCTGACTTCATGCAAAAAATGCCCTCCATGTTGGTCCAACCGCCCTTTCTTGTCAACTCTGATGTTGTCGCCAAGCAAACGGTGAGCTTTGATTGGTTGGTTCTATTTGAGTGAGTGAAGGAATAAATGAATGAAAAAATGAATGGATGGATGAATAAATGTGTGAACTAGTGAATGAATGAATGAACATCATAATCATCATCGCCAGGGCTCGTTATTTTCCTTATACCTGTACGATTCTGTCTACCTGTGGACAATTGTGGTCGATGAGGTCATCAAAAATGGGCTGGACTATAAAAATGGAACGCTCCTATTCGACAAAGCTAAGGGCATAAATTTTCAAGGTGATTTGCATATGCTAATCGTGAATTAATTATGTTAATTTGGCGTTTATTATTATATAGTTTGCAACAATGTTTCATAAACAAGTTTAACGTTAATTATTTAAATAAACGCTTGTGACGGTTTAATATTTTATAAAAAAAATGAAGATTAAATGAACAAATGAATGAATAAATGATTGAATAAACGAACGAATAAACAATCGAATGAATGAATGAAGACACGATGAAAGAATAAAATTGATTAACAAAGGTATGTCTGGTAGGGTGACCATGGATTCAAACGCAGACAGGTACACTGATTATAAAGCCTGGCATATTCCTTACGGTGCCTCGTTTGAAAGGTTTGCTTTTTATTCATTCATTAGGGAGTCCTCAATTTATTTATGTATTCATTCGTTCGTTCGTACATTCATTCACTTATTTACTTTTCTATCTCATTCACTCGTTCATTCACTAAGGTATGTCGAATTTTTGAAAATCGAGAGGTATAATGATCAGGCCAACTCAAATTATTCGGTCAGTTTGTAGAATGAATGAATGAATGAACAAATGAATGAACGAATGAATGAACGAATGACATCTAGCGCATAAAGGAAGTGGCAGTTCGCAATTGGGGTCCCACGGGCCTCACACCCCCCAACGACCAGAAAATTTGCGACTCGTGTGAGGCCAACTTTTATGGTAAGCCACTTTTTTGTAGTAGTAGTAGTAGCAGCAGCAGCAGCAGCAATGGTAGTAGTAGTAGTTGTTGTTGTGTTAATATATTAGTTTTGTTATTGTTATATTAATATTGTTGTTGTTCTTTACCATTTAATTTCTCTTACAGTTGGTGATACTATTAATATTACTTCCGTCATTATCATTATTATTATTGCTATTATTATTATTATTATCATTATTACAACTTTCCCGCCACCAGTTCGCCAGACGATTCTCATCTCGGTTTTCAGCATCCTTGGAGCCGTAATAATCATCGTCGTCCTCTTCTACTTCTGCTGTAAGAAGAAAAGGTAGAGAAGTAATATCAACAATTTTTTATTATTATTATTATTATTTATTACTTATTATTATTACTTATTATTATTATTATTTGTAGGTTCGAGAACCAAATGCAAGAGATCTCTTGGAAAGTTTCGTTGGATGAGATGCACTTCCTCAAGAAACATCCAGATAATTTCAAAGTTTGCCCTTTACTTATTAACTACTATTACTACTACTACTACTACTGCTGCTGCTGCTGCCGTAACCACTACTACTACTTACTACTCAACTACTGTTACTGATAGTAATGAAAATAAGTGTATTCATTGCAATAAAAACTAATTTTGTTGACCACAACCACCGCAGAAATCTGGATTCCTCTCCACAACCTCACTATCTTCCTACCCCATTTTGAACATCGCCCCTGCAGAGAGCAGTTTGGGGCACGTCAGGGCTGCTTTTTGTAAGGGGGTCCTGTGCGCGGTGAAATTTGTGGGCATGAAATCTCTCCATCTAACTAGAAGGGACCATATGGAACTAAGCAACGTTTGTAGTTGCTCTACTATCATCAAAATCACCATCATCGTCGTCGTCGTCGTCATCATCACAACCATCATCATCACCACAATCACTATCATCATCATCATCATCATCATCATCATCATCACCACAATCACTATCATCATCATCATCATCATCATCATCACCACAATCACTATCATCATCATCATCATCATCATCATCATCATCATCATCACCACAATCACTATCATCATCATCATCATAACCTAAAGATGCGAGCCATCACCCACGACAACTTATGCTTATTTGTCGGTCTGTGCAACGAGCCATGCCACGTCAGCGTCCTTACCAAATTCTGTCTGAGAGGAAGTCTGCAGGTTATAATTTTTTGTAATTATGATCATAATTAAATAGTTATAACCATAATTTTATAATTATTTCAGTTTTAAAACTTTTGTTTTATTTTTGTCCGGTTGATCAGCAGTGGTTTTGTCATTTTGATGGATTTTATTGTATTATTTGTTTGTTTGTGTGTGTGTGTGTGTGATTTTGTTGGTTAAATCTCCTAAGCAATGATTAATGGATTATATATTTCATTTATTTTTACATTCATTCATCCCTGCATTCATTCATTCATGCATTCATTCATTCACTCCTTAATTCATTCATCGCAGGACATACTCAACAACCACGACATCAAACTGGATGACAACTTCAAGCGCTCCTTCATTTGTGACTGCATACAGGTAGACAAGCACAAGAACAACATTCATTCATTCATTCATTCATTCATTCATTCATTCATTCATTCATTCATTCATTCATTCATTCATTCATTTATTCATTCATTCATTCATGCATTCATTCATTCATTCATTCATTCATTCATTCATTCATGCATTCATTCGTTCGTTCGTTCGTTCGTTTATCCACCAATCAATGAACCAACCAGGGTTTAGACTACTTGCACAAGAGCCCAATAAAATCTCACGGGCGCATGCGCAGTAACAATTGTTTGGTCGACAGCAGGTGGGTGGTGAAGTTGAGTGCCTGGGGACTCGCCTGTCTCCACGGGGTCAAAGGTTATGACAGCGAAGAGGAGAGATGTGCCAGTTTGTTTTTAATTCTTTTCATTTTTACTTTTTTTTCTGTTTTCATTGTTAATTTTATCCAATCATAACAATTGTAATTTTTCCAATTGTTCTTAGGGCTATTGTGGACGGCCCCTGAACTCCTAAACAACCCGAACCCCCCTCAAAATGGAACACCCCTGGCAGATATATATAGCCTGGGGATCATTTTTCAAGAAATTTTGTATCGGTGCTTGCCGTATCAAAGTGGTGGTGGAGTGCATTTAAGTGCTGTAGGTTAGTTTCGGAATGATAATGGTGATTATGATGATGATAATGATGATGGTGATGATTATAATGATGATGGTTGTGATGATGATAATGATGATGGTGATGATGATAGTGATAATGGTGATGGTTGTGATGATGGTGATGATGATGACGTCCTAGATGACGATGATGAAAATATTTATACGTTTCCACCATTGTCAACGCGACGACGTTGGAGCGATGATTCTAAACATAAAATGCGAAATTAGAAATAGTTACAAGGGTGAAGAACTTGGAGAGCCCCCCCTTCAGACCAAAACTGCCGGAAAACCAGCAGATCGATGTCAGGTATTTGGAACTGGCGCGAGACTGCTGGCGCGAAGATAAAAATACCAGACCTCTGACTGCTAGACTGCAGGCCAAATTCAACTCCTTCAATAAAGGAAAGTTAGATAGACGGATGGGTGGATGGATGGATGGATGGATGGGTGGATGGATGGATGGATGAATGGATGGATATTTTGGATGAGATATTTTTTAGTAAAGAATTCAGTAAAGCTAAGCATTGGCCCATTCTTCTCGCAACAAGAATCAACATAATGGACAACATGTTGAAGATGATGGAGAAGTACGCAAACAACCTGGAGGAGATCATCGGAGAGAGAACGAGGCAGTTGGAAGAGGAGAAGAAGAAAGCTGACATGCTGCTCTATCGAATGCTGCCCGCGTTAGAGATTGTAACACACATACACACACGTACATACACACACACATACACACATGCACGCACACACACAGTTCTGTAGCAGACAGTTTGAAATTGGGACTCCACATCAATCCGGAGATATACAAGGAGTCGTCTATCTATTTTTCTGATATAGTATCATTCACGACACTGGCTTCTGAGTCGACGCCGATGGAGGTGGTGGATTTTCTGAACGACCTCTGGACAACTTTCGATGACATCATTGACAAATATAATGTCTACAAAGTCGGCTCATTGATTCTTTTTTAGTTTTTTTTTATATAGCCAATCAATCAGTCAATCAATCAGTCTATCAGTCAATCAATTAATTCATAAATCTGTCCACCAATCTATCTTTCATTCTTTCATTCATTCATTCATTCGTTCGTTCAATCACTCTATCAATTAATTAATTCAATGTACTGACAGTTTATTAATTTATTAATATACCAATCAAACAACCAACCAGCTAGCTAATCAATCAATCAATCAATCAATCAATCAATCAATCAATCAATCAATCAATCAAACGCAGGTAGAAACGATTGGCGATGCGTACCTGGTGGTGAGTGGCGTGCCAAAAGTGCACAGCAGACACGCTCCTGAAATTGCCAACATGAGTCTGGACATCCTGGCTGCCGTCAAAACATTTAAAATCCGTCACAGGCCGGATAGACAGTTGAAAATCAGGATTGGGATGCATAGTGGGCCCGTCGTTGCTGGTTAGTTGGCCGGTCTAGTGGATTTTTATTTGAATTTATTTCTAAATAACTAAGTTTTCCCTCAAAAAGTTAATTAGCTAACCAATCAATTAACCAGTTAATCAATCAATCAATCAACCAATCAATCAATCAACCAACCAACCAGGAGTTGTTGGCCAGACGATGCCTCGCTACTGTCTGTTTGGGGATACGGTGAACACGGCGAGTAGGATGGAATCACATGGCGTTCGTTAGTACAACCAACCATCAATCATTCAATCAATCAACTGACTAACCAACCAATCATCAATCAAAATCTCATTAACTAACCAACTAACCAACCAACCAAACAACCGATCAATCAACCAATCAACCGATTATTCTCTCAATCTTTCAAGACAAAAATAATAACGATATTTTTACACGGCCAAGCCAATAAGAGTATTAATTTTATTATGAGATAAATATTTAATCATTGAAATAATTAGTGAAATAATTAATAAAATAGTTGATGAAATAATTAATAAAATAATTGATGAAATAATTATAATATAATTTATTTCACAGCCTTAAAGATTCACATAAGTGAGGCAGCTTATAAATTCTTGTTGAACGCTCCAGACGGCTACATAATGGAGCTGAGGGGCGAAATTGAGATCAAAGTATTCATTTATTATTTCATAAATATTTCATCAAATTATGAAAACAATTATGTTTATATTAATTATAATTAAATAATTATTTTGCCACAAGCTTTGTCTATTCTAGTTTTTCTAAAATATAACAGGGCAAAGGATTGCAGTTGACGTATTTTCTTGAAGGGAGAAACGGAGAAAAATAAAAATGAAATTTATTTTTCTTTCTGCTGTTTGTGTTAGATAGATTTCAGATATACATATAAATTAATAATTGATATGTTTAATTCATTTGTTATATGGTAATTTTAAATATTGGCACCTAAGAACAGAAAATAACTTGAAAATCCCCATTTATTCATTCATCTATTATTCTAATCATTGATTTAATATGCCACTTATACATGATTCATCCAATCTTTGATTCATTCATTCACTCATCCATTCACCCAGTCATTCGTTCAGTCATTTATTCGTTTATTAATCTAGTTGTTGTGTTATTAAATCTAGTTTTAAAAGTTTACATTATTTAAGGAATAAAGTATTTATAAATGTTTACAGAATGTATTTATGTGTGACTATTATATCTCTACTGTACTATCTTTCAATTCTTCTTTGTTATATAGATCTAAACTACTGAATACAACTATGTATTTTATGTACTATAAAGCTAAAATTGTGTATATAGATAACATATTTAAAAACATTAACACAGGTATATACACCATAATTACTGATATGTAAGATAAAGTTAACCAAAGTATTAAAAGCTTCTAATAATTTCACTATATTTAGCTATATTTACTATGGTAAACACGGTAAGCGATAATATGGTGTAGATGTAAATAAATTATAAATTTGTACACTAACGGGCGGTTTTATACTGTAAAAATTTTAAACATTATGATTTAAATTATTTAATAATTTGCAAACTTTATAAAAACCCACAAATAACAAAAAAAATCCATGGACTCTCGAGAAAACAAAACACTGAACCTGGGTAAAGTTATAGATAGAGCCCCACGATCATCTACATTAGGCATGGCGCACGAAAATCTAACGTTAGATTTCGGCCAGGTTGAAAAAATTCATCAGTGGAAAGAGATGCCATCTTGCGACGAATTTGTGGGCTCCAAGTAAGTAATTGCTTGGAGTAATTAAGACGATGTTAAGTAATTATAATAATAATTATTACCACCTATTACTCATTATAACTATTAATTATAGTATAATAATATAATTATAATATATTATATAATAATACTAATTAGTATGGTAAATGATATGTGTAATTTTGCATTTAATTGTAATATTGAACAAGTAAATTTAACATTTAATAATGTTTCCAGTTAATTTTTCCAGTTGCTTCTTTTTTGTCTTTCATGAGAACATGTTTATCTATTTTTTAATTGACATTTTGCAAAACTTTGACAATTTATGTTTCAGGTGGTTGTGCTAAATGATGAACTCCTTCACAACCATTCTATCTTCTTATCATTATGTTGTATCATATTGAGAAGGAAAATAAATTGTATTGTATTGTATTATATTGCATTGCATTGTAAAGTTGTATATTACAAACTGTTCATTTATATTATATAATAATTTAAAAATTTACTGTATTTATCTTCTTATCTTATGCCTACTTGTTAGTGTGTATGTATTTGTGTGTGTTTGTGTGTGTGTGTGTGTTACTGTTTATGCTTATTGATGTAATGTTTGTTAAATAATAAGTATATTAATGTTAATGTGATAAGTATTAATGTTATTGTGATAAGTATTAATGTAAATGTAATGATTACATTAAAAAAAGGAGAAGTAAGCATACAATGGTCAGCTATAAAGATGATTTGTATGTCTTTGGAGGTGATAACAGGTTCGTCTGTTCAACCATGAATGAATGAATATGTGAATGTGTTAGTGAATGAATGAGTGAATGAATTAACATGTGAATGAGTAAATGTGTGAATGAATGAATTAATGAATGAATAAATTGATTGATAGGCTGATCGATGAAGAAATGAATGAATGAAATTTCGAGTGTCTGAATGAACGAATGAATGAACGAATAAATGTATAGATGATTAGATGGATAGATTTATAGATAGATGAACGAGTCAAGAAAGGATAGATGAATGAATGAATAGATGAATGAAATTTTCAAAAATTGAGGGACTCATAAACTGAAAAGTATAAGTGATGAATTAATTTTTCTTCCCTGTCAGCAAGATAATGCTGAATGATCTACTGCGATTCGACGTTAAAGAGAAATCTTGGGGCAGGTTAGTAAGATGGAAAATTCAAGAAATTATTGAATAATTTATTTTATTTAATTACTTTTATATAGTTATTTGACATGATTAGGAATGGCTTTAAAAGTCTGTGAAGCACTAAAATATTTGAGATTTAATTTTTTTCTACAAAACAAATGTTATGATTTTGAGATTAGTTAGATGTTATGCATTCAGTTTTTTAAATTTTTTGAAGGGCTTTCACGAATGGCACCCCGCCAGGACCCCGGTACCATCACTCGGCCATTGAGTTTCAAGGAAGCATGTTCATATTTGGTTTGACTTTCATTATTTATTATTATTTTTATTAATATTTATATTATCTCTTATTATTCTTCTTCTGATTATTATTGTTGTTGTTGTTCCAGGTGGTTATACTGGTGACACACTTTCGAATTCAAATTTCACCAATAAAAATGACCTTCACGAATATAGGTTAGGTTATATTTCATTCATTCGTCCATTCATTCATTCATTCATTTATTCATTCATTCATTCATTCATTCATTGTTTTCATCCTAATTTTTGTCATTTGGTTGCAGGTTTGCAACAGGACAGTGGCTTGAGTGGAAATTTGAAGGGGTGTAAGTTGGTTGATTGATTGAATGATTGGCTGGTTGATTGATTAGTTGATTGAGTAATCGGTTGATTGAATAATTGATTGGTTAATCAATCGACCAATCAGAAAGCCTGTACCAAGGGCAGCTCATGGGGCAGCTTGTTACGACAGCAAGTTGTGGATATTTGCTGGCTATGATGGCAATGCTCGACTGAACGATATGTGGAACACATCCCTACTCACGGACCCCAAGGGAGTTCACTTTTGGCAGGAGGTCAGTTAAGAAATTAGGAATGACCCCAATTGGCCAATCTATCAGCCTACGAACCATTCAATTGGCCAACCAATCACAGGTCAAACAGTCTGGGTCGATACCACCGACCTGTTGCAACTTTGCCCTGGCCGTAGCCCACAACAAAATGTTCGTCTTCTCTGGGCAGAGTGGCGCCAAGATCACCAACGATCTCTTCCAGTTCGATCTCGCTACTAAGATGTTCGTTAACGAGGAATGCATGAATGCATGCATGAATGAATGATTGATTGATTGGGTGAAATATTGAGTGAGTGATGACTGAGTGAGTGAATGAATGAATGGATAGGCTCGACATGATAGCAATGAAGCACGCCAGCCTGCCTCCACTCACATAAACAGGAAGACAGCGCTGCAAAAGCAACAATCTTACTTTGCTTACCTGCATTAATTCAACTAATTCACCTCAACAGTTGGACTCGCCTGTCAACCGATCACGTGGTCAGGGCTGTCCACACCCCACCTGACAAGAGGTACGGGCATACAATGGTATCATACGACAGGCACCTCTATGTTTTCGGTGGGGCATCAGGAGATACATTACCTAAGGAAGTTCACTGGTCGGTCGGTCGGTTGGTTGGTCAGTTGATGATGGTGATGATGATGATGTTTTTGGTGATGATGGTGATGATGATAATGATGTTGTTGGCGATAATGGTGATGATGATTTCATTTACAATTTTTTTCCATCAGTTTTGATTTGGACAGCCAAAAGTGGGTCAACGTGGAGGCGACTGAAGATAGTCAGGTAGGTCATCATCACTATCATCACCATCATCACCATCAACATCATCAACACCAGCCTCCCTTCAAATACTGGCGAACTCAGATACCTCCTTCCAGCCTGTTCCACGCGTGTGCAGTTGTCCATGGCGCAATGTACGTCTTCGGGGGGACCATCGACCACAGCTTAAGGAGTGGAGGCATGCATAGGTTTCAGGTGATCCATCAATCCATCCATCCATCTATCCATCCATCCATCCATCCATCCATCCATCCATCCATCTATCTATCTATCTATCTATCTGTCTATCTGTCTATCTATCTGTCTGTCTATCTGTCTATCTGTCTATCTATCTGTCTGTCTATCTATCTATCTATCTATCTATCTATCTATCTATCTATCATTTTATCAATCTACCAT